AGAGTTGTCATATGACCTAGCCTATTATATTCACACAAAACTTGTACATGAATATTAGTAGCAGCTGTCTTCATGAGGTACAAAAAGTGTAATGTCCCCCATTCATAATGAACAATTGAAATGATAGCCAAATTTGACTTATCTCAGCTATGGCATATTACTTAGTATTAGATAGGATGGAGTATTGTTACCTGTTCCATACAGTATTAATGAATATTGGAAACATGGGAAGAGAAAAAAAACAACATATATGATGATTGTTGCCCTGAAAAATGACACCTACTGATGCAAAAAGATTAGTGTTTGCTTAGAATTAGAGGTCGTGAGGGACATGCAGAATGACAGTGGATAGGTTGGCACTTTTAGATGATGGGATGTTGTAATTTAGATTGTGGTGTTAGTTGGATACCTCTGGGAATTATATCTCAAAAATCTATTTAAAACATTTCTAAAAACTAGAATATTCCCAATAATGCAAAATAAAGACATATTTCCCTATATGTTAATACCTGTAATTAAAATATACTATGTGACCTTTTTAAGTCACTATCAATCAAATAAGAGTATTTTTATCACTATTTGAAAACACGCTTTCTAACATATGTATAGTGGTATTTAGGATAGCTGTAGAACTAAGAAGCATTTAGGTAAAATTTAAAAGTTGTGATACTAGAGAGATGGCTCAGAGGTTAAGAGCACTGGCTGCTCTTCCTGAGGTCCTGAATTCAGTTCCCAGCAACCACGCGGTAGGCTCACAACCATCTATAATGCATTCTGGTGCTCTTTTCTGGCCTGAAGTGCAGGCATTCATGCAGGCAGAACACGGCATACATAATAAATAAATCTTTAAAAAAAAGTTGTGCTAATTGTGGTGTTGCACATTTTAAAATGGAACAATATAAAGATTTAGTGTTGCTCTTTTATAATACATGGGTGTCAGCACAATGTTTATACAATGATAACTTTACTGAGTGAAGTGAGCAAAGACTGAATAAATCTCTGTATTAGTTAGCTTTACATTGCTTCAACAAAAAAACACCTGAGGTAGCTAAGCCATATAGAGAAAAAAGGTTACTTAGCCCACGATTTTGGGAGTTCAAAGTCCTAGATCAGGCAGTCCCATTAGTTTGGCCTGTGGTGAGGGTGGCAGATGAATAGCACATCATGGTGGTAACTTGTGTAGGATCATAGTCACATCCAGAACAGGAGTGAGAAAGGGGATGGGCACACCAGGTTTATTTCTTTTATAACATTATTTAGGGCGTTGAGTTCTCTGACCTGACACCCCCAAAGATCTAAGACTCTCCCTCTAGATCCTACCTCCCAAGGGTCCACCACCTCCTACTTGGGAGCACGTATTTACTTACAGTGGACTTTAGAGATGGCAGGGCAGACTCAAGCCATAGCAATGTATATAGATGTAAAAATGCAGTACTATAAAGGTCATTTTTTTGCATAAAAGTACATTATTATAAAGGGCACTTGTAATTATATAATGAAGTCTGAATAAAATTCAGCAAGACTTTTTATATAATTGTATAACTTTATATTTATAACAATATCATAAAAAGATTCCCAAATACTAGTTAATGACGCAGATAACTCACAACTTTTGGCCTCCACTTACCAGAAAGCTGAAGTAATAGTAAGTGTGTAAAGTAAAGGTAATAATGGATATGTGGAATAAAAGTGTCCAGAACCAGGCGACACACACACAAACTTTCCCTCTCCTAGGGGTTGCAGCCTTGTCAACAAATAATAACTGCAGCATCAACACATGCCTCACGCTTTCTGAGTAACAGGAAGACCATAGAGATGATAGACTGCTCCCCAAAGCACTTGGTGAACTGAAGACAAGATGTTGATAAGATTTATGAAATCCAAAACCGGTTTGTTTATCCCCGGCCAGGTGATAAAACCCTAACATTTTTAGACATAAATTATTTGTGTATCTATTGGAGTGAAATAGCTACAAGTCAATGTCAAGTTTTTTAAAAAAGATGTATTTATTTTATGCATGAATGTTTTGGCTGTGTGTTTGTATGTGCACCATGTGTGTGCCCCATGTAAGCCTGGTGTCTTCAGGGATCAGAAGAGGGCATTGGGTCCCCTGGGGTCTGGAGCTATGGATGTTTATAAGCCATCATGTGGTACTGAGAATCAAACCTAGAGAAGTCTTCTCTAAAAGCATCAGGCTAACTGCTGAGCCATCTCTCCAGCATGAATGCCCCATATAAATATAAATGTTAGTGGTAAGTGACCAGCCTAGCAAAGGCAAACAAGTCTCTAGAGGGTGGATATTCCTGTGTGCCTGCCAGTCCTGTAGGATCCTGAGAGGACTTCAGTTTTCCATTTGTCTCTTTTCTGAGCTAACAAATGGCTGGAGAATGAGTTATTGATTGCTTCTCTTAGGAGGAAGAGAGGAATTGGGTATGGAGGCTAAGTGTAGCTCATATTGTACCCAAAACCATATTCTAGGTATAATATAATGTACTGTGCTATTTTCTCTACTTTATACATTTGGAACATTTCAAGTTTTTTTTTTAAAGGAGAAAATAGGTTCTGATGAAGTATAGACAGCATTTTATACTGAATGGGTTAGGTGTGTAAATTCTGAGTGGTTGCAGGCAAAAGGCTAGCATGGCATGCTTGGTTCAATGGCCTGTCTGACTCAGGAGCAAGCTGAGTTTTTTTTTTTTGTTTTTTGTTTCTTCTTGTAGTTTTTTGAGACAGGGTTTCTTTGTGGAGCTTTGTAGACCAGGATGGCCTTGAACTCACAGAGATCTGCCTGCCTCTGCCTCCCAAGTGCTAGGGTTAAAGGCTCTTGTCACCACCGCCCAGCACAAGCTGTGGTTTTGTAAGTTCTCTGCTTCCTGAAGTCCTAAGTGTTTGCAGGGACAAATGGTGTTCATTTGCTTGCTTGCTTGCTTGTTTTATTATTGATTGGTTTTTTGAGAAAGTGTTTCTTTGTATAGCCTTGTCAGTCCTGCAACTCATTCTGTTGACCACCTGCCTCTGCCTCCCCAAGAGATGGGACTAAAGGTGTGCACCATCACCACACAGCTTGTTTGCTTTTTTGATGAGAGTCTTGGTTGGGAAATGTCATGCTGAAAAGGATGTGGTGAAGGCCACCCAGGTCCTGAGGGAGGCAGGATTCTGCTCTGTCAGCACCCTCAGCCTACTTTCTTTTCTGATTCCCTAGAGGTCCCTATATCCTCATTACTCTGCCAAGTAGTTTTTCTATAGAGCAGTAGAAGAAACTGCAGAGGGAGAGATGGAACAGAGGCATTAAGGAGCTGTAGGTAGAATCATGTCTGCTGGTTTTAAGAATGCAGTTTTGGCTCCTGACAGAAAAGATGACATACCCCTTGGTGACATATTATGACCAGATCCCTGGAGGAGCTCATGGAGAAGGGGAGATTTTTAGACCCACATACCTTGCCATTGATATTTGCAAGTGAAGTGTGTTGTTACAGAACACACTCTTCCCCGCCCCCCCCCCCTAGAAAAACAACTGATCCTGAGTAAATACTGGTGATTAAAAGAACAGTTTGTGGCATGATGGGCTGGTTGTGATATTAATGTAAAATTTGAAACAGAATTTCTGGGAGTTTAGTGTGTAAAAGCATAAAAGGTGAGGAGGATGGAATTTAAACTTCTTTTAGCAGACTCATGTCTGGCCACTCACCTAAACTAATACTTAGGAAATAAGCTGGTGGGAAGGAAGTTTGTTTTATTGAAGATCTGGCATTCAGGGCCAGGCATGGGAGCATACCCCTTTGATCCTGGCACTCCTGAGGCTGAAGCAAGGTTTGTGTTCAAGGTCATTCTGGCTATAGAGCAAACGTTTGTCTTTAAAAACAAAACAAAACAAAACACCAACAAACACAGTGCTGGAAAGATGGCTTACTGGTTAAGAGAATTGGCTTTCTTTTGAGAGGACCTGAGTTGGAATTCCCAGCACCCACATGACAGCTCATAACTATCTGTAGCTCCAGTGTCCAGGAATATGACACCTATTTCTGGCTTTCTGGGTCACCAGGCTCTCAAGTGGTACACAGACCTAAATGCATGTAGAACACCCATATGCATTAAACAACAATAACAACAAAAACCAACATCCTAAAAAAATGGGTAGCTGCTGTCTCATAGCGCCACCTTATGAATATAATAAATATTTTAATCACACACACACACACACACACACACACACACACACACACAAACATCTTTAGTTGGGGAAAAAAGTCTGAGCTAGGCATGGTGGCTCCTATTTGTGATCTCAGCACTTGGGAGGCTGAGGCTGACCTGGCCTCCTGAATGTGGAGACAGACCCTAACTAAAAACAAAACCAAAAAACCTGGAAGACTATACATACGTGTGAATGATCTGGATCAGGCATTCATGATCCCAGCATTTGACAGACAGTTGGGAGGATTGCTGCAAGTTTGAGACCAACCTGATCTAAATACTGAGTTCTGGCCAGCCAGGACTATGTAGTCAGCCCCTTCCTTAAAAAAGAAACAAACAAACAAAAACAAAACAAACAACATCATCAACAACAACAAAAATCCAGTTGGGAGAGAGGGGAAGAACAAAAGAAAAAGGATGCAAAAGATAGCAGGCAGTAGATGATTTCAGTATATTATTTTTGTTCTTTCTTTCTTTCTTTCTTTCTTTCTTTCTTTCTTTCTTTCTTATTTGAGACAGTGTTTCTCTTTGTAGTCTTTCTTGGTTGTCCTGGAAGTCGCTTCGTAGACCAGGCTGGTCTCTATCTCCCTTGTCTCCTCAGTGCTGGGATTAAAGGCCTGTACTACCACCACCCAGCTCCCAGTGGCTTATTTTCAGGAATGTTTAAAATGAAATAGAATTAAATTGAAGTAGAGGTGAGTTCTAGAAAATGATTGACAGGTGTGTTTTGGTGTGCACTCTGTTCTCATTTGTGCAGTCCCTTCTCACAGAACAAAGAACTAAAAGCCTCACTGCTTTTTAATCAACAGATCTCCCTCGGACATGGCAACAAGCAGCTTTCCCTTTGTACCATGTGACACCAAACGGGCATCCAGACAGCTTGGAGCATCTGCTGTGGGCAGGTCAGAGGACTGCTGGGGACTCTTAGGGGACTGTGGTACACCAGTGAGGTGGGGGTGGGCCTAGGCAATTATAGTGTTCATTTTGCAAGTTAGAGAAGAAGAAGAAGAAGAAGAAGATGCATACAAGGGGACTCAGTAGTATAGTAAGAGTAAAACTAAGTTAAACTTTGGGGACAAAGCTTTTTGTTTCTAAAAAAATGTTAGCATTATTTTGTGTATGTGCATGTGTGTGAGAGTAAGTCCCACAGCACATGTGTGTAGTGTAGTGGACAGCTTGAAGAAGTTAGTTTTTACCTTTCACTGTGTGGTTCCCGGAAATTGAACTCAGCTCCTCAGGCTTGGCAGCAGGTATCTTTTACTGGCTTATCTTTAAACTTTGGTTTTGTTTGCTGAAATGCTTATCTAATTATTCTTTATCAATAAAAACTCGGGAGTCAGATATTGGGGTAAGAAACTGAATGATCAGAGAAATAGTAAAGGGACCAGTGACCTCCTCTCTCCTTCCTCAATGCAAAAAGAAAAAGAAAAAGAAAGCAGAGAATCTTTCTCAGCCCCACCCTATTGCTTCCTGCATCTTTCTCTATGTCCTTGATCCTCCAAAACCTCTATGGCTAATTTTGATCAACTAGTATCTAGCTCTGCCCTCTGATTCAAAGTAAACTTTATTGGCAGTCTTGGGAGTGTCAGAGTTTGATCAGACAGAATATCCCACAATGGTTTGCTTTGTTTGTTTGTGTTTGTTTCTTTGTTTCTTTGGGCAGGCTTTGTAGCTGCAGAAGAACTTGAATTCCTGATCCTTTTGCATGGCATTCTGGGATTACAGGCATGGGCTACCACACCTGGCCCACAATAGATTTTAAAATTAATGTGTTACTCTTACTTTTCTTCCTTTTATTTTCTCATGACCTTAGCTTAAAAATGCATTTTAAGAAATATAGCCACTGCAGAAACTCAGGAGCCATAGAAAGCACAAAGAGAAGGAGATGTAATACCAGAATTTGTAGTCTTAGGTTTACTAAATTGTTTAAATTGGGATCATGTTACATTGTTCTGTAATCCGCTTTTTAAAATTACATATCATTATATTTTCTTCCTTTTTAATGATAATTTATTTTTATTTTATTTATATTGGTGTTTTGCCTGCATGTATGTCTGTGTGAGGGTGTTGGATCTTGGAGTTTACAGACAGTTGTGAGCTACCATGTGGGTGCTGGGAATTGAACCCAGGTCTTCTGGAAAAGCAGTCAGTGTTCTTAACTGCTGAACCAACTCTCCAGTCTTGAATTATATTTTCCGTTCCTAATAGATATTTTTACAATATCATATTTAATTGTCAATTATTGTCTTTTCTAATTTATTCTAAAATTAACAGGTTTCTGAACATGTAAGTTGTTTTTTTTAAAGTGTGTGTGTGTGTGTGTGTGTGTGTGTGTGTGTGTGTGTGTGTACACTCTTGAATGTGCTTGAGTGTTCATGTGTATGTTTGTATGTGTGGGTGTGGGTGCTGGTGTACCATGATATGTGTGTTGAGGTCAGAGGACAAGTTCATGTGTCAGTCACACAGCATGTCTTTTGTCAGCTGCTTAGCTGCTTACTCCAGCCTAGCTGGGCACAGGCTCTGAGGGATTTGCCTGTGTCCACTTCCTGTATCAGCAGTGTTGGGCTGATGAGTCACTGCATCCAGTTTTACATGGGTTCTGGGGATGCATGGACTCATGCAGAGTCTTTTATCCACTGAGCCATTTATTTCCTTGGCCCTAATTTGTTATTTTATGAATTTCAAGGCATTTTTGTTTTGTCTTAATACCTGTGAAAAAGTAGTTTCTTTTTTGTCTTCTTTTTGATTTTTTGAGACAGGTTTTCTGTATGTAGCCCTGGTTGTTCTGAACTCATGGAGATCCTTCTGCTTCTGCCTTTTGAGTGCTGGGATTAAAGGCCTGTGCCATCATGGCCTGGCTAAAAATCATTCCTTTGTTTGTTTGTTTGTTTGTTTATTTATTCTGTTTTTACTTACAGGCTTGTGGAGCTTTTAAATTTAATATTGGGTCTTCAGTTTAGATTTTACATTTGGAATTAGGTATTTACAAGTGTGTTCATTATACTCATGAATTTGGTAAATTGTCTCAGTATGGTAGGGGTTGAGGGATGGAGATGAAGCTGGAAATAACTTGTAAGAAGCTTTAAAAATTATTTTCCACATTACTTTTTAAAAATTCCAAATGTTCCTGCTCATGGAAATATGAGGGGTTTTTTCCTAGAAAGAAATATTCACTTCTCATAGTTATGTTCTAATTCTTCTGTGTCCTAGGTAACAATTAAGTCAATTTTTTTTTTTTTTTTTTTTTTTGAGACAGGATTTCTCTGTGTAGCTTTGGAGCCTATCCTGACACTCTCTGGAGACCAGCCTGGCCTCAAACTCACAGAGATCCGCCTGCCTCTGCCTCCCGAGTGCTGGGATTAAAGGTGTGCGCCACACTTCCAGTTTCTTAACAGACTAGTTGCTGAAGTAGTTGTGTTAAGCACTTTGGAAAAATGAGGTGAGACTCCTTGTTGGCAGACTTCCTCATCACTTCATCCTCTTACCACATCCCATAATTAGAGAGGAGACATGCTGTTAGGGCTTCACACGGCTATTTTTCCATGGAAGTGGGCGGTGGGAAAGGTTGTTCATTTTCAGATCTCAAGGATTAAGTGCATCATAGTTGTCTGATGTATTGTATTTGAGGAACTCACAAAAGCAGGAGCCTTTTATAGATCTGTTTATTCTTCACTTGCTAGCAGGCTAGTGTCAGTTATTAATGAAGGCTGCTTTGGGGGAATCTCAGCATCATGAAGGAGATTATCACCACTGAGGAGGTAGACTTCCAGAGGCTGTTTAGTAGGATGAGGTTCCCAAATGGCTAAGTCATTGGTTGTGGCAAATTTTTGAGTAGAGGCTAGTATGAGAAGAGAGAGCTTTGTTTGGGTTGTTTGGTAAGAATTCAGGACAGAGAGAGTCACTGCTTGTCAAGAGCATACTTTCAGTGTTTCAGGTTGTAAAAGTTCTGGAGATAGCACAATAGTGTGGGTATTGCTGGACCATACTCTTTAAGTGGTTAAAGTATTGTATTAAAATTTTATTTTCTTATGTGTTATACTATTATTTAAAAAAATAATGAAGGATAGATTGCCAAGACCATTGAACCTAACCCTTTCTACTTTTTAATTAATATGTTGATTAATTTATTTATTGTGAGTTTGTGGTGGGAGGAGTTATACATGTGGCACTCACAGGACAACCTCAGCTGTCTGTCCCCAGAGCCTTCTACCTTTTGTTTAAGGAAGGATCTCTCAGTGGGCTGTAGCTTCACGACATAGGTCAGGCTAGTGGGTCTGTGAACTTTCATGAGTTTACTTGTCTCCACCTTCCATGTTGTCATCGCTAGGATTATAGGTGTGCCCACTGCATCCTGCTTTTTACCTGGTTTCTAGGGATTCAAACTTAGGTCCTCACGTTTGCAAGGCACTTGCTTCACTGGCTGACTTAGCTCTGCTTCACTGACTGACTTAGCTCTTCAGCCTCTGTATTTTTGATAAGAGGTCTCACCATGTTGTCAAGTCCAGATTTGAATTCCTTATGTAGCTCGAGCTGGCCTTGAACTCTTCAGCAGTCCTTCTGTCTCAGCTTTCTAATTTCTTCTTCCTGACATATTTGGCATTTGCCCAAGGCACCTACTTTACTGGCTTATCAGTGTCTAGCATCCTTGATAGTAAACTAAGCCAGGGTAGTTTCCAGTGTTTGCCAAGGAGCCATTTCAAAATAAGTTAGTTTTATTAGAGATACATTAGGCATTGTAAAAATAGCACCACACTAGTAATATATTAAAGATCAGTTCACTGTACTTATACTTAAATAAACTAGGGTAGCAAGGATAGCCATAGAGCAGAATGAACTTATGAAACCTACCTGCCTCTTCTTTGAAAGCACATATCTTCTTGAGGATTCTGAAGGATGAGCACACTGTTCATGTGACCAGACTAAGCATTTTTCTTTTCTTTTTTCTTTTCTTTTCTTTTCTTTTCTTTTCTTTTTGACAGGGTCTCTTTATGTGGCCCCTGCTGTCCTGGAACTCGCTATGGGACTAGGCTGGCCTGGAACTAACAGAGGTCCACCTGTCTCTGCCTTCCAAATGCCAGTACTGATGCCATGTACCACCACACCTTTTACTCCCTGAGAGATGATGATTGTTACCTCATTCCTTTCAGTGTATTACTTAGTCACACTTTTATCTTTCTTACATTCATGTTGTTATCGTTTCTTGGCTTTGATACCTATTGCCACCTCTTCCTTTATTTTCCACATTTAGAGTTTAATTAATTTGTGTATGAGGGACTTGTTAAAACAATCTGTCTGCCCCTACAGATAGATTGGTATTGAACGTGTTCTCCTCCTGCTCCAGCCTCTCATATGATAACTTTCCAAGTGCCTGCTGTTCCCTTTCAGACAGGAGGAAACTGAGAAGTAAATGTCTTCTCGCCAGCCAGCACAGCTCACTGTGGTATGAACTTGTAGGGTCTCCCTTCTGCCTTGGGCTAATTAAAGAGAAAAAAAATAGCAGGAGACCCTGGTCTGGTTATTTGCTATAGGCTTTAGAGCCTCTGGATCTGTGTGCCTGAATCATTAGATGAGGGCTGTTGGAGTCTTTGAGTGCAGTAGGGGTCTTGCATTTGGAGAATTTTCAAAATTCCCACACTCTTTAGTAAAGAGCTATGAAGAATGAAGTCTTGTTCCTCTCCCCTTTTGCACACAACACAGGAGTGTTAAGTTCCTACTGTGGAAGACCCGTTTCCTTGGCATTTTTTGTGTACAACAGTGTTTCTCAATCTTCCTAATGCTGTGATCCTTTAATAGAGTTCCTCATGTTGTGGTGACCTCAACCATGAAATTATTTTTGTTGCTACTTCAAAACTGTAATTTTTCTACTGTTATGAGTCATATGTAAATATCTGTGTTTTCTGATAGTCTTAGGTGACCCCCGTGAAAGGGTCATTTCACCTAAAGGTCACAACCCACTGGTTGAGAACTGCTGGTATAGAGGCACTTGGTATATTAGCAAACAGTTCTGACCCATGAAGATAGAACTCTTAGCTTTTTTTTTTTTTTTTTTTTTGATACAGTTTTTTCTGTGTAGCTTTGGAGCCTATGAGGGCACTCGCTCTGGAGACGAGGCTGGCCTCGAACTCACAGAGATCCACCTGCCTCTGCCTCCTGAGTGCTGGGATTAAAGGCGTGCGCCACCAACACCCCGGCGAACTCTTAGCTTTTTAATTCACAGAACTGCATGAGAGGATGTAGGCTTGGTTATGTGGCGATGTGCTTTGGACATTTGTTTGTTTTGCCTAGTCCCTGCATGATCTTAGGCTCAAAGTTGCAGGCTTTGCTTTGAGGGTTGGGGTAATAGAGCCTACTCTATTAGACTTGTTGCATCACAGAGTTAACAGACTACACATAGCTCCACTTTTCTTAAGAAAAGACTGGATGAGGGCTGGGGATATAACTCAATGGCAGATATGCTAATATTATGTAATCTTGGGTTTTAATCTCTAGTACCCCCCCCCCAAAAAAAAAGGAGGCAGGGTGGTGGCGGTGGCAGCTGCAGTGGGTGGGCCACTCACACTGACTCACACTCACTTTGCAATCAGCTAACCCACTGGATTTGAACTTGTGATCCTTCTGCCTCAGGGTCTTCATTCTACCCAGGGGAGGAATGGAGCAGAAAGCAGACCAACAAAGTCCCTCCCAAGGGAATCTAGGGGGAGGAAGTGCTCATCTCCTCCAGATGTAAATACAGGAGAAGAAAGAGTGCCTTGCCATCCATGGTAGGTTCGTAGTTGAGGAACAAAACCCGGATAAACAAGAGAAACACATGTGATGTGTCAAATGGCATGGGACCTCTTAGAAGGAGACGACCCAAAGCAACTGGGAAACCCAAATTGCTAACTTCTCAGTGTGTTATGGAAGAGCAGAACCCCCTTTGCTAGCACGCCTAACCATGACTGTCCATTCTTCAATTCTCTTTTTTGTCAAAATAAGTCAGTCTAAATGATAACTCCTCAGAAGGTAGAGATGTACCCAGAAAAAATGGAGTTGTGCAGGCTGTTTGTGATCTGGTTATTTATGACTTCAAGTTTAGTAGAGTTGGTACAGTTTGGGAAATCTTTGATTATAGTTCTTGAGGCCAGGGAGACCTGGAGGAAACTGGAGAAAGTAGAAACTATCTGGCTATACCTGGTGAAGACTCCAGTGTTCCCATCTTCTGTCTGTTATCCTGGACATATTCCCATACACTCTGATATCTTCATGAAGACAAAATTCTCATGCACCAGCCATCTAGCCACTATAGTCCATAAGTTCCAAATGGCTAGTTTCTACTTCTAGTCACATGTATATTCAGCAAGGTTTTCATGGGAGAACGCTTCAGATTTTCTGAACTTTCATTCATCTTCTCTTCCGTATTTCCATTTTATCTGTCCCCACTCTAGTCATTGCTAAGTTGTCTGGTATTATACATGTGAACAAATGACTCCAAGTTACTGAAAGCAGTTACTAACAAAATTATGGTTCTAATTAATAACTGGCATTATCTAAGGACTTCTGCACAGACACAAAGCACATCATATTTATTAATAGTGCAGCCTGTAATGTGGGCACTTTTGCTAGATATATCTTATGAATTAGAAAACTGACTTGTCTTGGTCATATATGGAATTGGGGTGAGGTCAGGAAAGAAGTCAAAGGGTCTGGCTCCAAAGCCAAGATCCTCATTCACTATGAGGCATACAGCATTTGCAATCAAGCATATTGAGTAATTGTTAAAGGAAAAAAGGGATTGGGGTGTAAGGGATACTATTAACATCATTCCAGATATTTGTTATAAATTATTTTGTATGGTTTTTAAAAATACAAGACTAAAATAATCATTCTGCTGTATATTAGCATATCATGTAAATTAAAACTAGGAAGGAGTCTTTACTTCACTGAGGATACAAGGCGGGACCAGGCAGGGTTCCAGCAGTTCTAGAATGTGAGTGTGTGGGCTGAGCATGCATAGCTTTTGCAAGATTATACACAGCTGTTGGCTCACATGAAGCAGGAGCGCTCACAAAGCATGCCCATGGCAACCATTGCCTCTGTTTCTTTCAAACAGGTTGTGGGTTGTGAAAGCACCTTGGTGTTTCAGAGATGGGCAGGGACCTGGGGGACTCTCTGGAAAATGGAAACAGTGACTTTTACTTCTAGTTCAAGATTCTTTTCATTCTGTCATGCCAGGCTTCAGGGGAATCCCGTGCTGATGAACTTTTCCAGATGCCTGTCTGACTGGACAGGCTTGGTGGGAATATGTTTCCTGGGCCTGTTGAACTTTGTGTGGCACCCATGGCAGCCATTTTTGGTTCTTAATCTGTTTTAGGAAGAGAAGTCTGAGAATGGTATAGAGGATGAATTAAAGCAAAATTGGGCTTTCACGTAGGCTCATGCCAGGCCTCCTGGTCAGAAGCTTTTGAATGTGGGGTCCAGCAGTCAGCATTAACAACCTCTCAGAGGTGTGTCTAATGCCTGCTTAAGATTGACACCATGAAGTCAAAGCCTCTGTCCTCAGAAAGGCCTTCTTGGGGGAGCGGGAGGAGGGCTTTAGAACTTAGGTCTGAAGGGGTAGCCTTCTCCATTCGTGGGATGGCCTTGGGAGCAGAGAGGATGCATGTCTCCAGGAGGAATCCTGACCAAGATGAAAGCCCTTGGTAGGCGGTGCTGGCAGTCTGCTGGGAGTAGCCGGGTTTAGGTCTAGGCAGACATCACACAAAACAACTTTGAAGGGCTGTGGCTTCTTTGTTTGCCCTGGGCTGGGACAGGTGTAGATCCTCCAGATGGCAGCTGAGATGCGGAGGTGGCTGTTTGTTGGCAAGGAGAGCATTCTAGCCACAACCCATTTCCTGGTAGTCGAGGATGAGCTTAGAGAGAACTGAGGGTGTGTGTGTGTGTGTGTTGGGGGTGGGGGGTGGGGTGGATGCAGAGAAGGCTGGGCAACTCAGCAGCAGGGAAGGGAAAGAGGATTAGCCCTGGATGGCCTGGAGCTTGATGTGTAGATCAGGCTGATTTACTGAAGTCTTACTAAAGGTGCCACACACACCTGCTGGGGGACAGGCTTTCTTGTTCTTGGAATAGAATCCACCCCCTCTTGACACTGTGATTTCTGGCTTTGGCCTAGTTTCTGCCATTTCTCTCATTTTCTGTCTATGCAGCATAGAATTTCCCCTCCCCCAGACCCAGATATTCCCATGAGTCACCCCACTGTATAGCAGTTAGGAAACATCCTTCCAATCACGGTGTTCATCAGAATCAGGTCTCCGTGTGTGACCCCCTTCTCTCCCCAAACCTCATTTAATTAGTGTCTACTGTGGGCAGTGTTTGTTGGTCCATCTCTTCTTCACAACAGCCCAGGAAATAGATTGTCATGCTCCTATTGTACAGATGAGGAAGTTGAGGCCCTATGTTACAGAGTTGGCATCAGGATTTAGAAATGATGCCCCAGAACGTGGAAGCAGGTACCTAAAAACCCTAGTGCTTAGAAGCCAAGGCAGGCGGGTTACCATCATTTCTAGGCTGGTCTGGGTTACATAGTGAGTTTTAGGTCAGGGCTATAGTTAAGAAAAAGAATGAAAAGAAGGAAGATAAAAGGAAATGGGAGGTTAGAGAGACAGGGGTTTTGAAGCTACTGCTTTGATAGTCTGTATGTCAAAGTACTGTACTTTGGGGTGCTATTTTCTCTCTTTCTGTTTCCCTTTGGAAGGGGGGGGATGGGGATCTTCTTTGAAGTCTGACAAGGGAAATGGTTCCAGAGAGAATGCAGCTATGTGCCTCCTCCTTATATCCTCTTAGGAAGATGAGCCCGAGGACAGAGTAGACACTGCCTGCACAGCCAGAGGCTTTGTTTGGAAATGGAGGCCAGTTTCATGCCTATAATTACAGCACTTAGGGGATAGATAGGACAGGGGGATCGCCGTGAGTCCCAGCCAGCCTGGGCTCTAGTGTCATACTCTGCTTCAAAGAGCAAACCCAAAATAAATAAAATCATCTGCTGTCTCTGGCTTTACTTCCCTCCCCGCTGCATAGGTTTATGTGCTTTCGAATCTTAATGTGGGTGACCGGGCACACACTGTTCACCCTTGCCGTGCACCTGTGTGTGCAGTATCCGTGTGTGCCTTTTCTCCTGCCCCCCTGTTTTATAGACTCAGAGCATTGGCTTTACAGACGGCAGGGCAAGCTCCTTTGCCCAGGATCAGGAAGTGGCAAGGGGGAGTTTCAGCTGGTCACTGTAGTCCCCTTCCCCTACTCCTTGGAACAAGGTGCTAACAAGTAAAAGTTACAAAAATTGTGTCTTTTTGTTTTTTCTTCAGTTCATCAGCCAAGGTGGATCTCAAGAGTGGTCTGGAAGAGTGTGCAGAGGCATTGAATTTATTTCTAAGTAACAAATTTAAAGATGCCTTGGAATTGCTTCGGCCATGGTAATTAGCTTTATTTCTCGTTAGATATTTTTTCATGTGTTTCTCTGATGTCATGTTTCTATGTTGATGTATCTGTATCTGCCTCAGTATTTATAAAACCCCTTCCCACGTTTGTTCTCTGGAGGGAAGTCTTCACATGAGCCCTCCCTCTAACTGTCACTGAACATCATTTCCTTTTAAATGAGCGGGGGGGGGGGGTATCTAGAGAAGCTAGTCTCAGTGCTAAAATCAAATTTAAGATATTAGGAATGTGACCGGGGCTCCCTTCTTCTGTCATGGAAGTTACCAGCACTGAGTCTTGCAGGCTTGGCAGCATCCCTGCCCGCCTGCTCACTGCCCTCAGCTCTGCATATGAAAGACTTGCAGAACTGATCTCATCTCCAGACTCAGCTCCAGTGAAGCTGAGATCCTTTGTAATTTGCTAGAAGAATACTTGTTGCTGAAGTTGGCCAGTGGTATCCCTCAGACTTTATCTGATGTCTTCTGGACCACAGCTGCTTTTTAGCTCGATTGCCTTCTGACTCATTATCTTTACCTATCTCCTTTATTGTTTTTTAAAACAGATCTCCTTTTTTATCCCTACTATCTGCTTATAAAATAGGATAAAAATAAATGATTAGTTTCATGGTCTCTGATCTTTATGCATAATTCATTGTTAAAATTCCTTTTTTCACCGCACTAGAGTGTGAGGTTTGAACTGCCTCTGGTAACTCTGGGGTGAGTGGGCAGTACCCTCATTCAGGACAAAGACTACATGGGCTTCAAGTAGCCTAGGGATGTTGAGTCATAGTACTTAAATTAAAAACAAACCCTAACTTGATATTTCAAACATGAACAATTAGCTTAAGAGGATTTGAGGAGAGCAAGCGGCCTCAGGCTGTCATCATGAGCCTGATAACCTCAGCTCTCAGGACTCAATCAGGGGTTCTAGGTATTAGACCTAAGGCTTACTGTGGTCAAGTCCCTGTGCTCAAGACCTGATTGACTGTAAAAATCTTGTTTCTCAGACACCCACAGCTAAACACTGAACTGAACTGGAATCCAGTTGCAGAGAGAGAGGAGTGATGAGCAAAGGGGTCAAGACCAGGCTGGGGAAACTCACAGAAACAGCTGACCTGAACAAGGGGGAGCTCATGAACCCCAGACTGATAGCTGGGATACCAGCATAGGACCAAACCAGATGCCCTGATCATGGGTATCAGTTAGGAGGCCTTGGATATCTATGGGGACTCTGGTAGTGGATCAGTATTTATCCCTAGCATACGAATGGACTTTGGGAGCCCATTCCGCATAGAGTGTTACTCTCTCAGCCTAAACACACAGGAGGGCCTAGGCCCTGCTCCAAAGGCTAGGACAGACTTTGAAGATCCCCCATGGAAGGCCTTGCCCTCCCTGAGGAGCAGAAAGGGTGTGGGATGGGGGAGCAGGGAAGGAGGGGAGGAAGAGGGAACTGGGATTGACACACAAAACATTCTTGTTTCTAATTTGAATTAAAAAATGAAAAAAAAAAGAATTAAAAAAATATCTTGCTTCCTTTTGGCTTTGGCTGGAGAGGAGATGGCAGGGTTTCTTTTCTTTGGTTTTTTTTTTTTTTCTTTTTTTAATTCTTTGTGTTTTTCACATCAATTATCCTGATTCCACCCATCTCCTGTCCTCTGCTCCTGCAACCACCCTCCAAAAATAAAACAAAACAAAATTTAAGATAAAAAAGAAAAAAAGGAAGAAATGGAAAATCTCGTCCTGGAAGCTGCAGTGTGACACAGCGTGTCATGCAGTAAACCTCTTCATCCGTATATTCTTACATTCAGGCATTCATCACAAAGAGTCACTGGTTTGGTTTGAGGCCTCTGGTCTCTGCTACACTATTGACACTGGGCCCTTACTGGACTCTTCCTGGACATTCCATTGCTGCCCTGTGTTGTGGAGATCCTGTAGTCCTGAGTCCACAGGACCACCCACCTCACTCCCCACCCCCGTGTGCAGATCACAGATGGGATGATATTGGGGTGGGCCAACACTTAACCCTAGTTCTGGGCCTGGGTATTTGCAGCATTGGTCAGCCTGCCAGCTCTCCCCTGTCCTCACCGCTAGGGTGAGTTCTCTAGCATTGCCCTGACTAGTTTACCCCTTGCATCAGTGAGCAAGGAGTGAGGGTCAGTGAGGAGATAACAGTTTTAAAGGTGTCTTTCACCTGTATCACGTAGAAACTTCAGATTTCCTTTTTGTTTTGTTTTGTTTTTTTTTTTCCTTTTTCTTTTTTCTTTTTTTGTGAGATAGAGTCCATGTAGCTCAGGCTGACTTCAGACTCACAGAAGATGACATTAAATCCCTGAATTCCTGTCTCTACTTCTTGGGATGCTAGAATCAAAGTTGTATGCCACTAATCCTCACTCATTTCAGATTTTAAGATGGAACACTGCCCTATTCAACTGGAAAAAATTGGTTTGCTTTCAGACTTTTTCTAGGAAACTAATCTACAGGCTGCCCCCTTGTGCTGAGTCGGGGAAAGGCATGTTGTCGGCAGCACTGTGTTCTGTTGTGTAGGTTTAAATGGGAACTTGAGGTTTTAAAGCAGACCTTTCAGAGCTTGTGTCATTTCAGTAACTGGAGCAGAAGTCAACTGCATGGTGAGGATTTGGAATTGTTGGTAAAGGAAAGAACCTGGACTTTTGTTTCTTTTTCTTTCTTTGTATTGAGTTGTAATCTCTGTTTTCTCCAGGGCCAAGGAGAGCATGTACCACGCCTTGGGATACAGTACCATTGTGGTGTTGCAGGCTATCATGACCTTTGAGCAACAGGACATCCAAAATGGCATTTCTGCCATGAAGGACGCCTTGCAAACCTGCCAAAAGTATGACCGAGTAGTTAATATCTGAGTTAAGACACCAAACCTTCTTGCCATAGTGCTGAGTGGATGTAGTTTGCTAAGCTAAGGTCTTGAGTTTGAGTCTGGCCAGAGTTATGCAACATGACTCCAGCTTCCAAGTTTCTTGGCCAATTCACTTCTGTGATGGAATTCAAGAAGTCTTATAGGGAATTATAATATGGCTCCCATTTTAGCACCTGTACCCACTGCTGGATAAATGGGGTCTGAGCTATAGTGAGAGTCTGAGGGAGGTTTAGGAAGGGTTAGCATAAATAAGAGCATTAAAGTATTCCACGAGGCTTTTTCTTTCTTTCTTTCTTTCTTTCTTTCTTTCTTTCTTTCTTTCTTTCTTTTCTTTTTGGTTTTTCGAGACAGGGTTTCTCTGTGGCTTTTGGAGGCTATTCTGGAATTAGCTCTTGTAGACCGGGCTGGTCTCGAACTCACAGCACTGCCTCCCGAGTGCTGGAATTAAAAGCGTGCACCTCTTATGCCCCGCCAGAGAGTGTTAGGTTTTTTTTTGAGGCAGATGAGTTTAAGAACTGAGTACCATGTCAGGTTGCAGTGAGTGTGCTGTTGGGAGAAACAGCACATTCAGGAGGGAATTTTTATTTGCTTAAGGATGTGTTTAGACACTCTTGGATTATCAAAATGAGACAGTGTGTCAGTTTTGGCTGTGATTCTAGCCTTTAATGGCTGAGCCATCTCTCTAGCCCGAAAGTGTCAGTTTTAAGCTCTACTCTGCATGTAGAAGGCCTTAATGAAAGCCATATTATTTGTACTGGTGAATTTCAGTGTGGGTAAGATAAATCTTCATGCAATTACATTGTAAGTCCTCAATGAAGAGCATTTTCCTAACAGCCCATTTTCCACCCGTGAAGATGCTTACCACAGAAATTCTACTTTTATCCAGAAGAACGAGGGGAGACTTATGCAAGGTTTGCTGTCAGTGGGGTATGTGAGCTCTGTACCATGCTTGGTAGGTTGAGTGCCCATGGTTGGCAGTGCAGGACCAGCACTAACTGTGTAGGCAGCACTGGGAGAGGAGGGCTTGGCATTGTAGACCCCAGGCTTAGAGTTCTAGCAAGATTGAAACCACTATCATTGACGATGAGCTCAGTCTGATGCTGGCCTTTTCCGTTCTGATCTCTTTCCCCTGTCTGTCTTCAATGCAGATACAGGAAGAAATGCACAGTTGTAGAGTCTTTCTCAAGTCTCCTTTCTCGGGGGTCCCTGGAGCAACTGAGTGAAGGTAAGAGTGTGGTGCAAGCTTACACCTCCTTTCCTTTAGAGAGAAAGAAGTAGAAGTACCCTGTCCTGCAGCCCATTACTGAATTGGGGACGATGAAGTGTCCTTTGCTCTTCCCCGTGCCACTCATACCCGACCCACCTCAGCTGTGGACACATTGGGTATAAGCACTAATGTAGTATATAAGGGACACATGGTGTTTTGCTTTTGATTTGCCCTGTGTGCATGTGTGTGTGCGTGAGTGGGTGCACGTGCAGACATTGAACCCCACCTGCTCCGGTGTGATCTGGACCCACATCGGTATGTGTTAATGCATTTTATCTGTTCAGAGCAGTGTAGTCATGAACAGGATGGTACAACAGTGTGTTGTTTTCTTTCTCACTGAAGGACAGCTATATGGCTTTAATTTTTTCATTGTTAGTAAAATTTGCTGCCCTAAAAACTTTTGTACGTATCTTTATTCTTTCAAGTATTTCATGAGTCAGTTTCCTAAAAGAAGAATTACTGCAGCTAAGGGCTTAAAATTTTACAGTATTTATAGATATTGGTATTTTTTTTCTCCCAGAAACCCTTATATTCAACCACCTTGGAGAGTTTCATTTTATACAGACTATTAATATTTTTTTAAGGTGAAAATACTTTTTGTTTTTGTTTTTGTTTTTGAGACAGGGTCTCCCTGTGTAGTCCTCACTGGCCTGAACTCCCTATGTAGATCAGGCAGACCTTGAACCCACAGAGATCCACCTACCTCTGCCTCCCAAGTGCTGAGATTAAAGGCATGCACCACTGTATCTGGATAGTTTATATACCTTTAAAAATAATAATGTTTGTCTACATAGCTGATGAAGATGTTTGGTATGTCAGCTTTCAGAGGAGCCAGGAGTTCAAGAATATCTATAGCACTCAATCAGATAGGTGAGAGGAAACATTGCTGTCAGTTGTCTTATATTCCCAGTAAGATTAGGGCAGAAGTGGCCTAACCAGCCCTATAAAGAAGGGTGGTCCCACCACCAGGGAGCATCCAGGTAATTCTGTAGAAGCAGGGCTCTCTCAGGAGACTTTGTGTGTATATTGTCATTTTCAAACTTGACCTGTGGAAGAGGTAGTCAGTACAAAATACTGAAAGTAGTCATGACTGGATAAAGCAGGCACAACTCTGGGCATGGCTGTCAGAGGCTATTACAATGGTCAAGTGTATGTTGCATACCTCGAGGGAGATTTATTATGGGCCCTTGTTTGCTTTCTAGGCGTGTTATCAGCTTGTTTGGGACATTGGAGAAGTTATGCACATTTGAGTGATGAGAGAGTGTTGAATGTTGATTACAGTTGAGAACTGTAACACATCACTTCTTTAGGATTTGCTGAAAAAGATGATAGTGTTGACTCAGCCATGACAGAAACAGATGGTATTTTGTTGGTTACCACAGGCAGTTGAAATCTATCTTCTTTTTCATTAGAAACTGACCTTCAAGCATCTGTAAGAACAAAAGCTGGTACTAGTAGGCCTAAAGTCTTCCAGAGATGATCCATGGGAGATGAAATTGGCCCCAGTGTGACTCTGGTATCTGTATTCTCCCTTCTGTCACTCTCCAAGGTGGCCTTTGGCCTTAACCCCAGACAGTTGTCACTTTGTTACAGTTACCTAGGAGGAGGCTGGTCAGGTTACTGAAAACAAGGTGCCAGTTTGAATTCCCCTGAGGATACTGAGGAGGTTCACTTTGAGGGAGGGTGTCTTGGAGACTTCCATCTTGACCGGTGGCAATGCCAGAATGGGCAGACAACAAACACTACATCTTGGTGTTGACTTCTGTGGTTTCTACCCTGTCTGCCTGTCTGTTGCTGGGGAACTTAGCTGTCTGTTACTTCCTCATAAATTGAACATTTGAGTCTGAATGAGAGAGCCCGTGGATTATGTGTGTATAAAGGAAGGAAAACATACATTCTTTTCTAGTTTGGCCAACACTGTTTCCAGTTGCCCTGAGTTGTCCTATCACTTGAATTGAAAAGGCCCTCTGCCTTCTGAACCTTTACCAGGAAGCACAAACATGGGCTAAGAGCAATAATGCTAAAAGTTGCCAGCATTCATCAGAGTTTACTGTGTCTGGTAAGCACTATGGGCAATACTCATTTGATCCTCGGTTGCAAAGTAGCGACATTATTAGTGGACCTTATGAATGAGGGGACCAGCAGAGAGGGAGGGCAGCCTGTGCAGGGCTCTGTACTAGCATGTGGCAGGCCTTCCTCCAAGCTCATTTACTTCAATAACACACCAATTTGCCTCCCGTGGAGAAAGGAATATGATGATTTTGTTTATGTAGAAACATAAAGATTTCTTTCCCTGATCTCTGCAAATGTCACCGGTTGTCTAGGAAGTCAGGGCATGTTTGGGGTGGTGTGTACATCACAGGATTGGGCATGGCTTTGGGAGCTCCTCTTTGTGAGCACCCTGTGCTTGTGCTCAGGTCTGAAAACACTGTAAATTGGAAAGTACAGCTACTCTGATGCTGTCTCTAAGGAGTCCTGACTTGTGCACATAGGACAGTAGGTTTTCTTACAACTTCAGGGAGTGATGGTTACTCGAAGGTTGACAGTGTATCTGACCATTGTCATGATGTCCATGACTTCACAGTTCAGAAGCTAGAATCCATAAGTTTAATAAACTCTTCAGTCTATACAACTGCTAAATGTTTATGCTATGATTATTTTTTGGTAGCTTTCTTCTTTCAAAAGGGCTTTTGAATTTTGTTTTCCTCAGTCAGGCATGGTGATCATGCCTATAATCACAGAACCAAGATGTTGAGACAGGAGGATTTCTATGAATTCAAGGATAGTCTGGACTACTTAGTGAGTTTCAGACCTGCTTGGGCTCCAAAGTGAGGCCCTGTCTCAAACAAGCAGTTGGTTTCCTCTTCTGTCCGAGCCTCACTCTGCTGTCGTTGTTGAATGGGCTGAAGATGAGTTCCCTGAACAGTTCACACGTTTCCAGGAAACTCTGTGCCAGGACTAAGAACAAGGCATCCTGTTTCTCTGGAAGCATGCATGGCCTTTGTGTCTCTCTTGGGCTCATTTATCTTCCAGCCTTTTCAGAATGTCTGGAGCAATGCTGTGTCTTAATATAATTGTGTTTGTTTTTAATAGAGGAAATGCATGCCGAAATCTGTTATGCCGAGTGTCTCCTACAGAAAGCAGCACTCACATTTGTGCAGGTAATAAACGTTTGACTGAATATTGGGGTTGTGTGGGAAGCCAGCCAACATTGTGTAGAAAACGGTAAATGTTGCTCATCGTGTGTTAGCACTGAGACTTAGAGTGGTAATGAAAGATATTTGTTATCTTGATAAAGTTTGCCGGAAAAAAGCCTCCAGAGAGCTGTATTCCCACTCAGATGTACTTAGTGGCTGTTTCAAATGGCTTTTAGGATGCCATTTCACACATTCTTAGTGTGAAAACAAAGAGGACTCCAGTTTGTACATGTGTGGCAGGAGTTGCCTGGGCTGAGAAGCCCCCTCTCTCCCCTTAACCTGGTTTTTCTGTGTAGCCCAGCTGTCCTAGAACTTTCTCTGTAGACTAGCTTGGCCTCAAACTCACAGAGATCCTCCTAGCTCTGCCTTCCAAGCGCTGAGATGTCTGCACATCACTTATTGTTTTGCTTGCTTCTGTGAAACTTAGTTACACATGCATGGGTAGCCACCCTTTTCATGGTCCCTTCAAATTTTTACCTACCCCTATCCTTTCTGTATTCATTCCCCTTTCTTGCTTTTGCCTCAAGACAGGGTCTCAATCTATAGCTGTCCCTGGCCTGGAACTCTCTATAAGTCTAGGTTGTCTTTGAACTCATGGAGATCCACCCACCCCTGCCTCCCAGTTGCTGGTCACCATACCTGGCCAAAATAGTTTTTAAAAGTCAAGGAATCCTTTTCTTAGGAGGTACTTTAATTTCATCTGTCACCTATGTGTGTCCCAGTGCTTCTAGAAACATGAATTTTACATTATGGCCCAGTGATGGCTGTCGTGAGGGTCAGGAGTAGAGATGATAAGGAAGCAGAAAACCACCTCAAACTTCTAAATTATTTTGAAAGTTATTTCTTTGTTGTTTTGTTTGTTTGTTTGGTATTTTTTTTCTTTTTGGTGGTGATATATTTTCCCCTGAAAGTTGGCATGTTAACTTAGATTCTGGTTCAGTAAAATTGAGTCAATGTGGCCCTTTTATTCTGTTCCCTGAAGCCCTGTACAAAACTCAGACAGGTTACCAATAACAGTCTCACCACCTCAGTCAGGAGGCCCCAGATTTTTCCTTATGTGTTTTCCAAAAGGAGATTTGTCAATGAAATGTTAGGTTTGCAAGTTTGGTTTGTACCTGGGGACTTGAAATCAAACATCTTGGAGGTGTCCATGACCTCTCCATCTTCCTCATGTCTGCCTGTGATCACTTCCTTCTCCATGCTTTGGCTGGTTAAGGGTCTGCAGCTCTATCCCTTCCTCCATGCTCCCACCATTATTGCCCCTGCAGAGGTGCTCATCAGCTCTATCCCTTCTGCTGTGTTCCCACCATCACTGCCCCTGCAGAGGTGCTCATCGGAGGTGCCAAATTGATGGTACAGCAGTTGAATGACTCTGTCCCTGGTTTCTTTTTACTTTTAGTTCATCCTGCATTCTGTGATTGAGGACTCAGTCAGAAATGAGACTCTTGCCCTGTTATTTTCTGCTTCTGCATTTCATGGCTTTCATGGACTTTGTCAGTGTTCTGTATTAGAATACCACAAATTGGGAAGGGGTTTCCAGGCTGCACTGGTGCCTTCCCCAAAATCCCCTGCTTCTCCTCTTACAGTTGTCCTCAGGTGCTACTGACCCTAGGCACAGGGGTCAAGGTAGAGTACCTTGTCCTTGGCTCCTTCCTTCTCTGCAGTGGCTTCTCCACTAGCTGTCATCTGCATCCATGCAGATGCCGGCGTGGCCTTGACTGCTTCCTGGTGTGTCTAGCTGAGGACTGCTTTGCCCTCCTTCCTTCACCTGGTCTTCCCCTGTCTTTTCTTGGTGCTAAAAGCACCAATGCTTTCAGGAGGGTTTTCTGGCTGACGTCATGCCCCACGTTGTGTTCTCTTGACATCTGTGCATGCCTAGTCACTTAACACAACATATTGCTTTTGCATGCAAGTGCCCAGCACACAATAAGCTTTTGGCCAGTGTTTGCTGAACCATGGAATGAAATACTCTTATTTGAACCAGACTTTACTCTAACCCAAGAACTTACTTTCTGTCTTGTGTTTGAACTTATGTAAATATGAGTTCTTAAAATAAGAATATAAACATTGAAGTTGCATACTGAATTTTGTATTTACTGAATTGTATAATAATAGGAATGTTAAATATTTAAGTAACTAATGATAATAATAAAGTAAAACAGTCTCTTTCGCAAATCTCCTTAGAAGTAACATGGGCTTGTGTCTGTTAGCACCATTACCATAATGTCCTTCAGTTGGTTATTTGGTATAGTTTCGAGTCTCTTTTAGAATGCTGGTCCTGAAAGTGCCATTCATCTAAGCCAGCTGCCTCAATTTAATGACTGATAACCCTCAGGCAAAGAGAAGTAAAATGGTCCCCACAACCACTTCAGAATTTAGATCAGTGGTTTTTGGTCTGCAAATTTATAGGAATGCAATATACAATGTTAAGTAGACTGCTTGTCCAAGCATCATGGAAAGAAGAACTATTATCCCATTTACTGGGTATGGTGGATGGAGAATTTGGCCTTAAAGCAGATCTGTGTAGCTGAGTGTTCTGGATACCACTGACCCCGCAGGAGTGTTGTTCAGTAGGTGTGATGTTTACTGAAGTAGTTTTGGACTACATTTGTGACGATTGCTTCCTTAGAAATACAAGGTAATGCAAGCTTTTTAAAAGTGTATTCTCACCACCTTCAAACTTGTAAGAAAATGACAAAACGACGCAGTTCAAATGTAAAGCAAGAATCGTCAATTTCAAAATTATGCACTCAAAATACATTTGGGGCTAGGGATACAGCTTAGTGGTAGGGTGTTAGGGTGTTTGTTTACCCAGCATGTTCTAGGTTCCAGTCCCAGCAACACACACACACACACACACACACACACACACACACTTTTCTCATTATACAAATATATACTGTTTAATTTTTTCTCCCTAAATGCTCTAATTATTTAATTGTATTATTTTCAGGATGAAAATATGATCAACTTCATCAAAGGTGGACTCAAAATTAGAACAAGTTACCAAATATATAAGTAAGTTACAAAGTAAGATTTGACTTAAATTGAAATTAAATTACATATTTTTGAAGACAGGCTTTCATCTGTATAGCTTGGGCTAGCCTGGAACTCTTGATTTGCCTGCCTCAGCTTCCCAAGTGTTGGTCTTACAGTCAAGTGTTATCACCCCATTGATTAGCTTGTAAAGTGACTCTTGGGCTGTACAGTTCTGTTCTTCAAAATTCCTGAAAACTCAGTGTGGCTAGATTTCTTCATTTGGTGTTGGTAAATGCAGTTGACTCTGAGTGTACTCGGTGCTGTAGGACAGAGTGGTTTAAATGTACATAGATTTCCAAGAGCAAATGTTGGAGGAGAAAGTGGCAGACACAATTTCTGGTCAGGTAACCTTTCTTTATCTCTCCTAAAACTCATTTGTGTATTTGGTATTTATGTTGTTATTTATATATTGTTTTCTTGAGATTCACTGTATAGCATAGCCTGGCTTTAAGCCTCTGATTCTCCTGCCTGAGACTTTGGAGTGCTGGGATTACAGGCATGTGCCACTACATTTGGCTTGCTTTAATAAAAACTCAAAAAAAAAAAAAAGTACTACAATTTTGTGTCTCTATTTTTTATGGTTGCTGTAGTGATTATAACGTCCTTGGCTTATTATAGTTACTGTTATGTGTAAAATATAAGAGCTTTGTAAACAGTTTCATTTGCTATCACTTGGTCTTTGTTCTAGCTTCCTTCCTGTTGCTCTGATAAAAATACTCAGGCTGAAAGCAATTTAGGGGAGAAGGGGATTTATTTGATTCATACTTCCAGGTCATGGTCCATCATTGAGGGAAGTCAGAGCAGACTTCTCAAACAAGAACTTGAAGCAGAAACCATGAAGAAACACTGCTTGCTGGCTCATGCATAGGCTCATGCTCAGCTTTCTTACGCAGTCTAGGACTTTCCTAGGGAATGATGCTGCCCACAGTGGGCTGCATCTTCCTGAAGCAATTAGTAATCAATCAGTCTCTCACAAACTTGCCCACAGGCCAGTCTAATTTGGATAATCCCTCAGTTGAGAATCCCTTCTCAGGCAACTCTAGGCTATGTCAAATGACCATTTATAGGAGAGCCTTTTAACTGTTCTTACGTTGTATTCTGTATGTGTATCATTAAACCCACTATACAGCATCAACTTTTTGTTTTAAAGTCCTTTGTCTTACTCTGCTCTGCTTACCACTGTGGCATCATTTCTGTTCACTTTTATGCTGTTGAACTAGCATTATCGTCTCTCATTGTATCAACTTTAAACATTTTTTCTTTTGTTTTCATTTATTTGAAAATCAGCTTATTTTGACTTTTACCTTCAAGGATATTCTTGCTAAGTATAGTATTCTGAGTTGTTAGGGTGTTGTTTTCAGCCCTTTAAAACTACCAGTCTCTTTCAACAGTGATTGTATTGTTTAGACCTCTGCTGTCTGTGTAATTGTTCCTTATATCTAATTTGACTTTTTTTTTTCTGGTCTCCTTGAAGAATATGTTGTATCTTTTCACTTCAGCAGTTTGAGTGTGGTTTTAGGCTTTTGTGGCCATTGTTCTTCAAAGTTTTTTTTTTTTTTTTCCTGCATCTTCTGCATCCTCTGTACCTCTAATTGCACACTAGTTAGCCTGATTATGTTCAACAAGCTACATACATACCCACACCCACTTTTTTTATTTTAGATTAGACCCAACATTGGGTCATCTTGGAGTTAATTTCTTTTCATTGCTTTTTCTGTTGACTATATGTTTTCCTGTGGAATGATTTTTTTTTTTTTTTTTTGGTTTTCGAGACAGGGTTTCTCTGTGTAGCTTTGCAGCCTATCCTGGCACTCGCTCTGGAGACCAGGCTGGCCTCGAACTCACAGAGATACGCCTGCTTCTGCCTCCCAAGTACTGGATTAAAGGCGTGCGCCACCAACACCCGGCCCTTAAATTGTATGCTAGGTGTTGATGTTTCTGTAGAGACTCTGGATTCTGTCATCTTTTTTTTTCCCTGAAGTGTGCCAAGCTCTGTTCTGGGAAGCAATTCATTTGCTTAGACTTGGGCTCCAGATTCTTACTGTTGTAGGAACATTGTACCTCTGCTGTCTTCCGCTGCCTCTTGGACCCTTCCCTAGTCACATAGCTGATGGGTCAGCCAAGACTTTCATTGTTGTCATGACATCGATTTTGGTGTTACCATCAGTATAGTTCTCTTTTTATGGAAATGCCCACCCAGCTTCTCTAGCTGATTCGAACTCCATCTTCTGACTTTTAACCCAGTGAATCTGTGGCTTACTGATGTGTTCTGTGCACTCCATAAGGAGTGGGGCATGCTTGCAGGCACATAGACACGCACGATATCAAGTTAATTCATGAGCTATTTTCTGCTTTCAAATTTAGCTCTTCTCCAGTTTCTGCCTACTCCATCCACCTTCAGTTTCCAAGCCTGGAAAAATATTTTAAATATATATATATATATATATATATATATATATATAGTGTATTTTTCAGGGCTTATAATTGTTATGTGTGGGAAAGCAAATCTCACATAAGCTTCCTGCCATTACTGGGAACAAATCCCATTACCAGAAGCAGAACCCGAATCAGTATTTCAAGAGGCACTTTTTACCAGTAGTCATTATATAAACGTAGAATCCATCAAAAAAAAAAAAAATCTTGCAAGAGGGAGCAGATTTGGAAAACTTGGCATAATGTTTTTAGATTTCCTTTCCAAGTATATTTTAGAAGATTAAAGAGCTGATTGCTTTTCCATTCATCAGAACGTTAAAGAACTAATTTAAACAGTCCTATGGTGACAAAGACACCTGTATCAGTACAGTGGCAGGGCTTTGAAACAGTGTGTGTGTGTGTATGTGTGTGTGCGCATGCATGTACTTATACACACTGTTGTTTAGCTAGAAGTTCATACTATACTAAATTCCTATTTATATTTGGAAGGATTATATGAATCCTTCCAAAATGGTGGAGAAAGAGAAATATTTTAAATAAATATTTTTTTGAAAACTGTTTTAAGGAAAAAACTGCCATTAATGTAAAAATAAATTTCAACAAGAGCTAGCATTTAAAAAATTTAAGTTATTAGGAAAGAACATAGGGAATATTTTATGATCTTAAAATTAAAAGCTTGGGGCTGGAGACATGCCTCAGAGATTAAGAGCACTTCCTGATTTGTCACAGGACAAAAATTTGGATCTCAGTACCCACTTTGGTGGCTTACAAATCCCTGTAATTCCAGGTCCAGGCAATCAGAGGCCAATTGTACATACACACACATGTATGCACAACACATGTATGCACACACACACACACACACACACACACACACACACACACACACACTCACATGCACACACGAACATACTAAAATTTTTAAAAATTAAAAAGCTTTTAAACTTATGTGAAGATTTTCTACTTTGAAATAATTTGTTATTTAATTTTCATGTATCTATTCAGATTTACAGATATAATCATCTTACAAAATAAAAAGGTCAATTATAGTTTAAAATCAACTTTTAAACTTTCATTACAATTTTTCATTATGAGACCGGGAACTCAGTGGTTAAGAGTTCATAATACTCATGCAGTGGATCCAGCATGAGTTCAGTTCCCAGCACCCAGGTCAGGTGGTTCTCAACTGCCTGTAACTCTAGATCCAAGGGACCCCGTGCCTCTGGTCTCCTCGGGTACCATGCACAAAGCAATATACCCACACCCAGACACAAACACACATATAATTAATTTTTAAAAAATTTCTTCTTTGGGATAATTGTCATAGATCTTCCTCTTAGATTCACTGATAGATGCTACATAATCACAGCTCAGTTATTAAGCTGACATCTACTGCCTTTAGTGTTCAACTGTCTCTCATCAGTGCTCCTTTTATTGTAGGGTATAGCCTGGGGCTCACATTTAGTTGTCATGTCCCCTTAATCCCTGTCTGTGTTGAGTTTCACTCTGTAGCCCAGACTGGAATTCCTCCTGTTTTAGCCTCCTGAGTGCTAGGATTATAAGCGTGTGCCACCATGTCTAACTGGTTTTTAAAAGAAAACGAATGTGGCCCAGGGCAGATGACAGCATGGGATGGTTGGGAGGAGTCTGAATTAAATTAGTGCCTTTGGTCAGTTAGTGCTGCTTAAGCACCATGCCAGCTCTGAGCTTTCTGGATTTGACTAGAATGCATCATAAGGGAAGCTGTGTGCTTTACACATTACATTGCATTGGTGATAGGAGATACCTAGTTATACCCTACTATTTTGTTGTGCTGCACTTTGTGGCACTGGGGATGGAATGCCGGGTCATGGGGACGATATGCAGGTGTCCTGTCACTGAGACACATTGTTAGTATTTACCATTTACTGCCAATCTACATGCCTTTGATTGTCTTTCGAAGATAATCTGAGGTCTGGAAACTTAGATTAATAGCAGTTTCCTAACATGTGAGGGCCTTGGGTTCAGTCACCACCACCACCACCACCACCACCACCACCACCACCACCACCACCACCACCACCACCACCACCACAACAACCCCCACACCAGCACCAGCACCACCACCCCCACCAACACCACCACCACA